GTGCCTGTAATCTCAGCTACTCAGGAGGCTGAGGTATGATAATCGCTTGAACCTGGGAGGCAGAGGTCGCAGTGAGCCTAAATCATGCCACTGCACTCCAGCTTGGGATACAGATGGAGACTGTGTCTCAAAGAAAAAAAAATTCTGAAAAAAGATAATTTCAGATTTAATGGCTGTTCTGTGTTATCAGTTATTTTCTTGTTTGTTCCATTAATAGTACATTAGATAATGAAATGCTTTGTCATACTCAGTAGCATTATAAGCAAGCAGAAAAAAATGATGGCATTTGTATTGGGTTAGTAGACTTTGGTTCTTTGTCTGTAATATTAATAGTACTTTGTTGTTGTTTTAATCACCCTTGATCTGTTAAAACCATTTATCTGGTAATCCTCAGTCTTTTATTTTGTCTCAGCACAGCTTTGGGATGTAGCACAGTGATTTTTCTAAAGTAGAGTGAGGGAAGGAGTATCCTCTTTCAGCTCCCTAAGAGTTCATTTTTATTTGTATTGTTCTTCGAGACAGGGTCCACTGTGTTGCCCAGGCTGAAGGGCAGTGGCACCATCATAGCTCACTGCTGCCTCCAGATCCTGGGCTTAAGGGATCCTCCCATCTCACCCTCCAGGGATAATAGTTGGGACTGCAGGTACATGCCATCATGCTCAGCTAATTTTGACAATCTGTTTTTTTGTTTTTTGTTTTTTGTTTTTTGTTTTTTTGAAACAGGGTCTAATTCTGTCACCCAGGCTGGAATGCAGTGGCACAATCTTGGCTCATTGCAACCTCCACCTCCCAGGTTCAAGCAATTCTCATGCTTCAGTCTCCTGAGTAGCTGGGATACAGGCATGCGCCACCACGCCTGGCTAATTTTTGTATCTTTAGTAGAGATGGGGTTTCACCGTGTTGGCCAGGCTGGTCTCGAACTCCTGACCTCAGGCCATCTGCCCGCCTCAGCCTCCCAAAGTGCTGGGATTACAGGTGTGAGCCACTGCGCCTGGCCAACAATATGTATTTTTGTAGAGATAGGATCTCACTGTGTTGCCCAGGCTGCCTTGAACTCCTGGGCTCAGGAAGTCCTCTTGCCTTGGCCTTCCAAAGTGCTGAGATTAGGCGTGAGCCATTGCACCCAGCCCCTAAGATTTTTAGTATTCACCCTTTCTCCTCCCCACTTGTAGTCCTTTACAGAAATATATGAGAATTTTGAGTTTTATAATTAGCATCTTAAAGACAGATTGTAATCATAGAAGCAGTGATCATCTTGGGCACATGGCATGTATTTTCATGTCCTTTAAAATTGGTTCTTCTGCTCAAATAGATTGGCACAAGCAGATACTTTGCTGCATTTGAGTTGCAGCCTTCTTGTAGCATGTTGGTACATAAAGATTCTTTCATGTTTTGGAGGATCAAGTATTTCCATTTAGTTTGGTTGATATGATTATCATTAAAGTTGCTAAGGGAGCCGCATTGTCCCTTTCTAGCAATCTGATGAATCAGTTTTCAGTTTTCTACTTTTATTAATACTGACCTGTGAGTTGAAGAAATATTTGCTGGGCACAGTGCCAGTGCCTGTAATTCTAGCTATTCTGAAGGCTCTCTTGAACTCAGGGTTTCAAGACCAGCCTAGGCAACACAGCAAGAACCTGTCTCTAAAAAAATAAAAAGAAAAAAAGAAAGGCTTGTAAATTGACCACAGCATGGGCAACATGGTGTGACCGAAACATAGAATACAGCAATGTAACAGCAGGACAGAAAACTGGGAAGTTTGAGGTAGTAGTGATAGTCCAGATATGGCTAAAAAGGATGTTTTCCTCAAGTTGCAAAATGTGGAATTTAGAAAGTAAATTAATATATTTTAAAGGGTTAGTTGAGGTTTAACATATTTTATGGCTGTGAAGGCAACAAAGACATTTTACACATTGATACTGTGGTCATTGTAGCTACATCAGAGAGTGTGACGTGCCTGTGGTTGAGCCTTCCTTATCGGCCAAGCCGGCCACTGTTTTGAAACTTAATGGTAGGCCTCTGAGGAAAGGTCTAATGTGGATAAAACCTGCAGTTTATACCAGTGTAAATCAGTCGTTTCAACTTTGTTATGGTGGTTTTGATGTTTTTTTCTCTGAAAAGGAACTCAGGAAATGTGATTAATAAGGTCAACTACTAGATTTAATTTTGTTTTTGATGGAAATATTTTTTCCTAGAAAATTTAATGGCCATGAATCTGATTGCGGAGATTATTTGCCATAACTAGATGTGTCCCCTGACAGGCAATTTAAACCACTTCCATTAAAATCTAGATAATCAAAGAATGTTGTGAAACATTATAAAAGAGGGCTATATGAAAGTAAATTCACATCTAGACTGTTTTAGTATTCCTGCCCCTCACCTCCAAAAGTCAGTGCACACAGTATAATCTTTTTATTGTCTTGGAAGCCCATGTTTATGGTTGGTTTAAAAAGGTGAAACAATTTATTTTGATGTTCTTTCGGTAGCAGTGTACCCTTGCATAGGAGTCAAGATAGATCTGACTTTCACCAGAAGTGTTCATATACCCAGTAGCCTTATGGTGAGGTATTTGCTTGTTTTTATCTGAATAAGGAATATTAGACCAATTTAGAAATACTTTTGCCACAGAGGACCCTTTAAGTTTTAGTACTTCATGCATATGAAATTCGAATGTGTTTTATACATGAATAGATTTATTTATCACATAGTTATTGAGCACCTACTATTTGGCAGGCACTGTTCTAGGTACTAAAAATTCAGCAGTTAACAAAACAGATGTCTCTCCTCTCCTCAGAGGACAATATCTTGGATATTATATTCTAAAAAAGCAATAATAGCATACTTTGATCTAGTCTAGAAAAGAAAAGATTGCTGTTTTAGGGAGTACACCATTATCTGATAGAGCTTTGCATTTGCAGGTTTATGACTCACTGGAAGCAAATACCCCTGTAGTTACAAATGCCTCAACTCTCTCGGCTTCAGAAGATGCCTGTGATTTTCCTGGCTTGCTCATGTGCTCCTTCCGACATGAAGTCCTTTCAAATAGACTTATTTGGTGTCCCAGCCTTCCCTGGTTTTTTTTTAAGCCATCTTCCCCTTGGACTCAGTGTGCAATCTGAGTTCATCGCGCACACATTGTGTGTGCGTACATGTGCACACGCAAGTGCACACATGTGCTTCAGCTGGATTTTAAACTTCTTCAGGGAGACTGTGGTCAGTGTCTTTAATTTAGCACAGTGCTTTGTATGTGGTAGCATTTAGTTGTTGACTTCAAGCTACTATACTAAAATTGCTTAAAACCATGGCAGTTCTTTAAAAAAGTGTTCTATATGGAATTTTTAAAAAATGCCTTGCATTTCTTGAAGGTTTGTCTTTTATGGTTGAAGTCAAACCACTTAGTATGTAAAAACCTTTACTTCTATTTTTAAAAACTGTAGATTGCGCTAATATGAAATTTCTGTGGAAGACTCTTTATGCTCGAGTGTTTTCATGTTTATGAGTACCATAGCTGTGTTGGGGTGAAGAGAATCACTCTTTCTAATCAGGCAAAATATTATAACTAAATTATTATGGCCATATCTAACATTTTCTTTTTATTTGAAGAAGGTGTTAACAGGGGCTGTTTTTCTTTGTTATAACTCTCTTCCTTCTACCTTTCCTTCTTCAGAAAGTTCAAGCTAGATTTAATGATTTCCATTATGATTTCCGGGTTTTTTTCCGGTATGCTTGATTGTTACTGAAATAAACAGGTTAAGTCGTCACTGGAAGTTCCATTTTGCCCGAGCCCAGTGTTCTCTCATCGGAATACCTCTGGCTTAAGGGAGGATTTCACTAGCATATCTTCTCTGTTGACTGAGCAGATTTCCTTTGGCATACATTCACCTCAGCGGGTGTGGCATTTTGTTAGGAAAGATTTGTAAAAATAGCAAAAATGTACAAAGCGATCATAGTATTTTATGAAAGTAGTTGGATTATGTTTTTTCATAGTTGGATTATAAACTTAATGATTCATATTTTATTAGTTGGTTATAATTCTGTTCAGCCTTTTGTTCCTCAGCCTTTCATTGGGATAACTCATGGAGCCTGGTCACCCATTTAGTTTTGAAGAATTCTTTATACAGAAATTTTAAAAATCAACTAATTATTTTTAAACGGCAAATAACAATTATATGTATTAGTTGTGTACAGCGTGATGTTTTGAAACGTGTATGTTGTGGAATGGCTAAATTGAGCTAATTAACATTTGCATCAGATCACATAGTACTTACCATTTTTTGTAATGAGAATATTTAAAATTTACTCTCTTAGCGATTTTCAAGAATACAATATATTGCCATTAATTATAGTCTAGAATTTTAGTTTTTAATGAGTTAAATGAATTAAATGAAGTGGACCATGCAGAATGGAATGTAATTGTCGAGTAAGTAGTTGAAAAACCTTAAAAGAAAGTAATTTTGGGCCGAGTGTGGTGGCTGAGGCTGGCAGATTGCTTGAACTCAGGAGTTCAAGACCAACCTGGGCAACATGGCAAAACCCTACCTCTACAAAATAATAATAATACTAATAAATATTGTTTTTAAAAAAGGTAATTTTTCTTTTAGACCTTTGTTTGGCAAACCTAAAAAATCTAGTATACCAAATAATGCTTTTGTAGAATTCTAGTAGTATTTTGAAGGAAGGAGGTGATACATGAATGAATGGATGTTAATAAGTATCTGAATTATTTATCTATATTTTGATAGTGCTAATATAAGAACATTCATTAATACTTTTGTGCCATAGACTGAGATTGTTTTCTCTTACAAGCCTAAAAATTTACTGATTTGTTTATTCTCTTCTGTTATATACTTGTTCATTATCCATATTGCATCTATTTGTCAATACTTCTGAGAGAAAAAAGGATTTAGAAATCATACTTAACAAAATTTGGTTATAAATGACTGAGACTTGGATGGTGTGGGAAACTGTGCCTTTGCTGACCTTCTCATAAATACCAACAGGTTTTAGGTCCTGCTCCTCGGTGGTGTTCCTTCTTAGACAACTTGACCGAAGAATTAGAAGAGAATCCAGAAAGCACAGTTTATGATGATTATAAATTTGTCACCAAGAAAGACCTTGAAAATTTAGGTAAAAAAAAAAATTGTGATAAAATATTATGTAATTATTTTATTTCTACTTTTTTTTGAGTTTTGAACATGAGAATTGGCTGAGCCATGTTTCCCTCATCTCCCAAATCTTCCCTTTCTGCCAAATCAGATATTAAACATATTATAAATTGCCAGACTTGTAACCTTTCTCCTTAGAGAAAAGTTTAAGTAAATTTAACATACTGAAGCCTTTTTGTATTTTAAATGAGAATTTATTTTAGCAAATAATTTCTTTTAGCATACTAGCTATATAGAGAAAACAAATTGTCACGAAAGCAGTGATTTTTTTTTTCCCCAGTATTATCTGAAGTATAATAAGGTTTTGAAAATACCTCAAAGACGGCAAGTAAATGATTCCTGCCTCCCTTTTAGGTTTGATTATAGAAGACCCAATCTAAAACGTAGAAGTGATACATTGAAACTTTAGATCTACAAGAACCTTAATAGTTACTTTATGTTTAAAGGTCATAAGCCAAGAAATGTCTTGAAAGAACAGCAAATACTTATGAGATAGGGCTTACTATGTGCAGGCAGTATTTTTTTTCTTTTTCTTTTTCTTTTTTTTTTTTTTTTTGAGATAGTCTTGCTCTGTCACCCAGGCTGGAGTGCAGTGGCCCAATCTTGTCTCATTGCAACCTCCACCTCCCAGGCTAAGTGATTCTCCTGCCTCAACCTCCTGAGTAGCGGGGATTACAGATGTGTGCCACCATGCGGTATGGTAAGACAGAGTTTCACCGTGTTGGCCAGGCTGGTCTTGAACTCCTGGCCTCAGGTGATCCATCCACCTCAGCCTCCCAAAGTATTGGGATTACAGGTGTGAGCCACCACACTCAGTCTGTGCAGGCAGTATTCTAAGCGTTCTACACATAACTCATTTAATCTTCACATCCCTATGGATTGGGTACTATTATGATTCCATTAGATAAGGAAACTGAGGCCAAAAAAAAAAAGATAAATGTACGTCGCCAGAAGTTTCAGTCGTAGTAAACTTGAGAGTTGAGCTTTAAATCCAGAGTCTGTGCCCCTCCCCTAGCCATCCCAGCCCCTGCAGGACATGTTGGGCCTACTTGCCTAGCACTCCTCTAGGTTAGAGTAGATGGTGCTCATCTTGTCCTGCTGCTGCCAGCGGGCTACTGCAGAAGTTACTGAGAGTGGGAAAACTTAGAGGATCCATTCTATACAAGGCAAGGCAACTTAGTTGTCTTTGGAACAAATAGATGTGCAACAACAGTTGAGTATTAAAAGAAAACAGAATCGTGTTACCATTAGATTAATTAAACTTCCTTTTTAACCCATATCTCATAGCACAGTTAATCCAGGCAGAATTACTTTCTGTCAGTTACTACCAAAAAAGAACTGAGTTTAGCCTTTTAAAAAATGACTTGAATGAAATAGGACCTTCTTAGTGCAGTGCCTTCTTAAGTGTCTCCAGAGTAATTTTTATAATATGCTATGTCACACTCACCTACTTTCCTAAATTGAATGAAAAAAGGTCATTGTTCTTTTGTGGATTTTTAAAAAACTACTATATTTAGTACATTTTGGGTTCTTTTTCAGTCTCTTTACTGGGTTTATTTTGGATGAAGAAAGCAGTTATATAAGTTTAGGTATATTTTGTTAAAATGTAATTGTACTGCTAATTTTTAAAACTATAGAAATAGATATTCAACAAAACGACAGTCATACTAGAAAGCATTTTATGTATATTACTAATATCTTTTGATGTCAAATGAGCCTTTATCTTTTCCCCATAATATATAAAACCTTCTAAATAGATATCTTAAGAGTAGAAGTAAGTAATGAACTTCCCTTACTTCCTAAGATTATTTTTAGTGCAACATTAGTATATTGAAGATTTGCAAGTTCTGACTGTTCCGGATATGGCCTATAGCAGATCTTATAGCTTGGTATTTCCCACAGTGCGTTCTTTGGAATATTACTTCTGTAAAAAGGACTGGGTAGATAGCATAGTGGCTGATATCATGGACACCACAGGTAGACTGACATGGGTTTATATCCCACCTCTCTCACTTAATATCTGCACAACTTGGCCAGTTCAGTTAGCCTCTTTAAGCCTTGGTTTCCTCATCTGTAAAATGGGAATAATATTGGTCCCTACCCATAGGGTTGCTTGGGGAATAAATCAGAAAATGCTTGGAAAATATTCAGCACCTGTTATTTTAGGAGATTTGTGGCAAATAAATTTGGGAAATGCTAGATTAAGCACAGTTAAATCAATTTCTTTGTCTCACTTCTTAGAGCCTTTAATACCATTATACATTGTAAATCTCCAAACACGGGAGGAAAGTATGAAACATTTCCCAAACTTACTTGACCATGGAGCCCTGTTTTCTCAGAAGATCTCTTGGGACTAGTGATCCATGGGGTTAACTGTAGGAAATGCTGCTGCATCCGATTCTTGGGTTAGGATTGTTTCACTGTGAAAAGCACTTCACTCGATTTTTATTTATGGCCTGACTTGGAATAATTCTGTGAGATTAATAAAGGAAACAAAAAATTACTTGAATCACTGGTATATGTATTTTATAATGTAGTGGTTAATCAAACCCTTATCCTGAGGAAGGTTTAGAGAATATACATGTGCAGTTGTATACATTCACATTTCATTAAGGTTCAGCCCTCTTTTTTTAAGACTCCATTGTGAAAGTTCAAACCCCATAGTTTTATTTATTTTTTTATTTTTTTTCCATAGTTTTATTAACCTAATGAATTCTATAATAGTATTTTCCTAATCAAGTTTTAGAATTACTTTATGAGAGTATCCTAAATTTATTTTTGCTTTTTATATTGTTCTACAACATATACTATTTTGCACTACCTTATGATTTTGCTTAGTGCTTGATTTTCAGGTCTAGAAGGATGGGTATTTCTAAAATTTGGAAATTAGAGTAATGTTTTCCTTAGAAAGATAGTCACTTATACCAGAGGTCCCCAACCTCTGGGCCATGGACCCGTCCGTACCAGTCGGTGGCCTATGAGGAACTGGGCCATACAGCAGGAGGCGAGTGGCAAGTGAGCATGACCGCCTGAGCTCTGCCTCCTGCCAGCCATGGCATTTGATTCTCATAGGAGCATGAACCCTAGTGTGAACTGCACATGCGAGGGATCTAGGTTGTGTGCTCCTTGTAAGAATCTAATGCCTGATGATCTGAGGTGGAATAGTTTCATCCTGAAACCATCCCTCCCCCCATCCGTGGAAAAATTGTCTTCCACAAAACCAGTTCCTGGTACCAAAAAGGTTGGGGACCACTGACATATACCATAAATGTTCTGCATGTGACTACATCACATGTGGCCTTATTTTGAATATAGTCTCAGCCTTTTTCTGTGTCAATATTTGCAATTAATAAATAATTTCTATGACATAGTCGTAGCATTCTTTTGTGACCACCAGCACCACAAGTTCTAAGTGTAATCTGTTACAACTGGGAAACTCTGAAAGGTATCGTTTGAGGCAGGGTTCTCAAATCCTGACTGGCAGTGGACTTTTCATTAGTCCCTGATGAGGAATGCGTATGTGATGTATTAATATGCATGTATGTATGTTTCTATATAGTGGTAGGAATTTGTCAGCGGTTCTTTCTTGGAAGACGGTTCTTTCTACTTTGTTTTTGTGAGTGTCCTTTGTTTTTGCAAATGGTGGGAGATAGCAGTGTTTCTCCTCACTCCCTTCTCATTTCAATTTGGCAACTTACTGTTGATTCGCAGTATTATTTTCTAAATTGAACTGGTTTGTGGAAATAAAAAATCTGAGGACCACTCAGAGGGTATAAGAGAATCCTCTTTGTCATGGTTCATAAGGACTTTCTCATCATTTTTGTGTGTAGTATCATAACATTAAAATAAATAAGGATGATATTGCTGAAGTCGATTGAATGTTCTCTATAGATATCAAAGAAGATTAGTAATTCTAATCCTCAAATTTTTACTCTGAAGTGAAATCTTATTATAATCAAATTGTGGTCCAAGAAAAACTGTTGAATTTTAATGAAGATTGCATAAGGACCTGCTGTCTTCTCTTTGACCTTTCCCAGGGCTCACCCACCTCATTGGATCTCCTTTCCTCCGGGCATATATGCATGGGTTTTTCATGGATATAAGACTCTATCACAAGGTAAACAGAAAACTACAGTTATTATGTTTCAGGTAACTAATGAGCAATCTGTAGCCATTTCCTCACTACTCGCACTTTCATAAAACATACATGGGATTTGTAGGGGATCTGCCTGTTCTTTGGTATAACTGTCATGGTGTATATGAAAATGATATTACTAAATACCATTCTTTTATTTTAAAAACTTTTTTAATTTTGAAAAGGTGAAACTGATGGTAAATCCATTTGCTTATGAAGAATATAGGAAAGATAAAATACGACAGAAAATAGAAGAAACGCGTGCACAGAGAGTCCAGTTAAAGGTAAATATTATACTTACCATTGAATTTATCAGAGAAGAGTACTTAATTTTCATTTTGTGTATTATTCCAAAGAAATCTGCCATTCTTTTCTTGGTTTTCCATCTTTAATCTGTGTCTTTTGCTAATATTTTTGGTATAGTTTGTTTGTCATCAGTGTGTCATGTTTGTCATGAGGATGTAAAAACTCTTTACAATTTTAGCATTATGACCTCTGTGGTAATTGTACTGTGGGAAATAATGCTAGGATGATTGATATTGTCACCTCCACTAAAAACCTGATAGTATTTTTAAATGTGTTTTTGATTTTTGGAGTATCAGGGCTTTGCTAATCCCCATTTCTTACTGACCTTTGGCCGTATCTTAGGCTATTTGGATCATCAGAAATGGTCGACAGTCATAAACTGTACTCGCTGTCTGAGTACATAGAATTTAATGTAAAGAATGATTAACTTGGTATTCAAGAACTGAAAAGGCAGAACTGCTAAAGGATGGAGGAGAGCGGTGAACTACAGGAAGTAGCCACCAGCTCAGGGCTGGGGAGCAGCCTGGGGAATAGGAAGAGGAGGCCCTGTGGAGCTGGACTCAGGCTTCTAAGGAGAGGCCGCAGGCAGGTTCCAGGGCCCTTGAGGCATAGCAAGGATGTTCCCGGGAGCGTTGGAAACTGCAAACTGGAATCCACCACTGCTGTGGAATCATCTGTTGTTTCCAGGACAAAGAGTTGCTGTTGTGTGGTGCCAGCGCAGACAGGGAAGGGCAGGCCCTGCTCCCTCGCCTGCCTTGCAGTCTGTCTGCAGCCGCCTCTGTTGGTTCATTTCAGCCACCAATGATACCAGTGTTTGTAACTGAACATTGGTATGCATACATACTCTGTCACTGTAAAAGACTAGTGACTGTTTTCTGCATTTACCCTCAGTACTTTTTTCTTTTTCCAGACTGTTAAAAGATTTCTGGTGTTTTTTGAGACAGGATCTTGCTTTGTTGCCCACGGTAGAGTACAGTGGCACAATCAGAGCTCACTGCAGCCTCCACCTGAGCTCAAGTGATCTTCCTACCTCAGCCTCCCAAGTAGCTAGGGACTACAGGCGCACACTACCATTTCAACTAATTTTTTGTAGATTTAGTAGAGACAAGATTTTGCTGTGTTGCCCAGGCTGGTCTTGAACTTCAGGACCAAAGCGAGCCTCCCATCTCGGCTTCCCAAAGTGCTGAGATTACAGGCATGAGCCACTGCACTGCCTCTCAGTTTGCTTGGAAGAGGCTCTCAGTGCCCTGGGAAGAGACATGAGGGCCAGTTCCCCAACAGTGAGCTGGGGTTGCTGTTTTTGTGCCATGTGGCCCACCCGGCATCATCACCTGTCTACATTTCCTACTATGAGGATAATGAAATTTTAAAAATAAGAATTAGTTGGCTGGGCCCTATGGCTCACGCCTATGATCCCAGCACTTTGGGAGGCCAAGGCGGGCGGATCACGAGGTCAGGAGATCGAGACCATCCTAGCTAACACAGTGAAACCCCGTCTCTACTAAACATACAAAAAATTAGCCGAGCATGGTGGCGGGTGCCTGTAGTCCCACCTACTCAGGAGGCTGAGGTAGGAGAATGGCGTGAACCCGGGAGGCGGAGGTTGTGGTGAGCCGAGATCGTGCCACCGCACTCTAGCCTGGGCGACAGAGTGAGACTCTGTCTCAAAAAAATAAATAAATAAAATAAGAATTAGTTATCTCCTATTTATGAGATTATACTCACAGAACTGTTAACCTTTAAGCTAATATGTAAATATGTTAGGTTTTATAATAAAATAAAATATCAGCTTTTCTTTCTAGAAATTGCCAAAAGTTAACAAAGAGCTGGCACTTAAATTAATTGAGGAAGAAGAGGAGAAGCAGAAATCTACATGGAAAAAGAAAGTTAAGGTAAGATGTAAAAGTATCGGAAATCGTTTCTGCATTTTGTTGATAGTAACTTACATCTTTTTTATTGTCTCTTTTTACTTTAAAAGTACATGTAGGACTTTTTCTTTCCTGCTTATAAGATTAGTATATGCTTAAGATGGGAAGTCTGGAAAACAGAAAAGAATATCAAGAAGAAAACTATCCTTATAATTCTTATACCAGAGAAAGGCACCGTTAATATTTTAGTGAATTTTCTTCCTGTCTTATTTGTCTCAAAATTAGAAACTACAATAGCAAGAGTCTTGTATGTGTAAAATGTTTATCCTGATTCTTTAAAATAACTCAGGTCATTTCCCATGTTGTTAAAAATTATTTGTAGATATTTTTAATGGCTACATATTCTGTTCTATGAACTGATTATAATTAACTCAATCCTTCTATTGTTGAACATTTAGGTTATTGTTTTTCTTTGTTTATAACTCCAGAAGTAACTGATTTTTATTGAGACTTGGTGTTCTAGGGCATATATGCAGGCTGAAGTGTAACTTCTACCTGCTTTCCTTTATAAATGTGAAAATAGACAAAGATCAGTCATAAAATAAATAAAAGTTTGCACTTTGTTTAGTTGGTATTGTTCAGAGGTGAGATTTTTCTGGTTTCAGATAGATGACCTAGTAGCTTTGGGCCAGCTGTGTGGTGCCCTCGTGAGGTTTCTTTTGTTAGCTTATTCTTTCTCTGTCCTCTGGTTTTTAACCAGGTACGTGCATCTAAGATGAGTGAGCTCCTTTTGTCTTCGTTTCTGTTCATGCTCTTCAATACCCAGGGACTGCAACTAAAGGATCTTGTTCCTAGCTCTTTGCACACCGGTTGTGTAATCTTGGGTGATTGCTCATCTTCACTGGGTCACAGTTTTTTCATCTGTAACATGCAAGGACCGGAGATGGGCATTCTTAGAGCTGTGATTTCCAAATGAATTCAGACTCAAGACTCCCCCTTGCTGTCTTCTGCTTCCTTAGCCTCTCCCTGCATCTCCTCATCCTCATTTATTACATTCTTTAATATATTATTTAAATTTTAATTTCTGGAAGCCTCTCAAGTAAATAGAGGACTTTTAGGTTTCCATTTTCATGACATGAATAATATGCCAATGTTGAAATAATTCCTCAAACTTATTAGTATTTGAATTTATGTCTGTGTGCTATGGCTCTGCACCTTCCTGAGTTACACCAATGTGTATAAATGAATATGTATGTCTTTAAGTGTTTAAAATACAAGTCCTTCCTGCTGTGTTGACTCTCTCCTCAGAGTATTCACACTGATCTTCCTGTTAGCCAAGCCCAAGCATGATTAGGGAGGTAACTTTTCAGCTTTGTAATGTCATTTCACAGTAAAAGCTAAATGGAAGTGATCTTCGGGTGTACATGCCCTAAGGCTTCAGAGTCCTTATTATCTGATAGAGATGAGAATACGTAAGTTACAATGTAATGTTGCTACTTTGTGCGGCATGGTATACCAGAGCCTTTTGATAAGGCCCTGTGATTATCAAGATGCAGAAGTGTCTTTGCCTTCCCCCCATTTCTTTGGTAGACCTTTGTTGAGGTTGAGGGCGGCCCTTCCCTTCCCCCCATTTCTTTGGTAGACCTTTGTTGAGGTTGAGGGCGGCCAGAGAAGATTTAGAATACACAGTAGTGCAGGATGGTAGAAATGACCTTACAGGTTGAACACATGCAGAGCAGTCTTCATGGTCAGTAGGGAAAATTAGCGTTGTTCCATGCCTTTAAACATTTTTGACAAAACATTAAAAACTCTCTTACTGTCCATTATAAATTGGAAAACTAGGATCTTTTTAGTATATTGTAATTTAAAACATTAGGAATAAAGCGTAATATTTTTTTTCTTTGTTTTCTTTCTTTCTTTTGTCAGTAATACTTGGAACAGTGCTTTTTTCTCCTCCTAAACTTTTGATATGGAGCCAGCATTTTTCTTTGCCTCAGCAAATTGTCATACTCATTTTCTAAGTTTAGATAAGCTTCCGATGTTTTATCCTTTGCTCTTTTGACATTATGAAATGTCTCTGAGAGTTCCTTTAATGTGAAGTTCTTTGCCAGCGTCACTTCCACTGGGACACTTTTCTTCTTCGTGTCACAACTGTTTTCCTCATTTGTTTAGAGAAGTTTACCATTACACGCTCCCCTCACTATAGACTTAACGAGTGCCAGCCAGCGACAGCAGCCACATTCCCTATATTCCCACAGCCAGCTCTTTCTTCTGTAACTCTCTTTACATTTGATTCACATTTTTGTTGTTGCAGTTTTATCTTGTTGATTAGTTCTCTCTAAATTGTACTTTTTTGTAAAGAGTTTGTCTTTGGTATCTAAAGAAGCAACGCAACAGTTACACACATCCTGTCTGCATGAACCGAACAGGAAATTCATTGCGCATCACAATGCCAATGCAGTGACCAGTCACTGACAGGCTTTGAGAAGAGTGACCCATTATTTACGCAGGGATTTGTGGACTAAAGAACTCGCAGCGGAGTTACACTTTATGTACATACTCAGTTGATGAACAGAGATAACTGAAATTTGAACCATCTTGTTGGGGCACCTGGTATTCTTTAACTACATTCCTTGGCTACTCCTTCCTGTTGGCACTGTGCGAATCAAGGACTTGCCTTTCTGTTATCTCCAGGCACATCTACGTTCCGTTGGTGTTCGCTCATTTTGTTGCTACATATTCTCTAATTAACTATCAGGATGGCATTTGATTATTTTAGAACCTATTTGTGGGTCACCCTGTAAAGAATTACCAAGCCGTGTACCATTTTACTTCCAGTGAAAAGGAGGAAGAACCTTAGAAATTCTTATCTTCTTCCATCAAACAGCAGTTTCTCTTCAGCTCTTCATAGCTGGAAATGCGATCTTTGTAGCCATATCACGTGATAACAGAATTCTTCCAAAGAGTAGTATTTGTAAAATGTGCCCCTAATCTGCTTTTTGGTGACTTCCTAGCCCAAATCAGACCTATTATCAGAGCTCAGTTTCATTCCAGAAATATTTATATATGGTCTTTTGAAAATCTGAGGCTGTGCTTAGAAAAAGTTTGTATAATTTGTTGTTGAACAGTTTCATCTTAGGTAAAGTGAAGATCGTAGAAATCACTCATGAATTAAGGAAAGAATCCTTCATTATAATTTAAAAGAATACTTGAAAGAATTGCTAAGTCCCATCAGCAGATCGTTAGTCTCGCCTTTGAACTCAGCTCCTCAAAAGCTTGAGAGCTTTACTAGCTATGATACCTCCTGATTTGAAAGTTGGTGTCTTGCAATACCAATTTGAAAGGTATGTTTTGCCTTGTCTGCAGCTGAAATTTACTGGAGGGAGACAGTGAAAAGTGTTCCCAAATATTGCTGCCACTGATAACACAAAAATCTAGTAAGATGTTTACTGTATGGTTGATATTGAACCTCAAATGGGAGGTGGCCCACCACATAATGTCAGTCAGTGGACATTATCCAAACTCAGAAATTTTGGTTGTATTAATTCTAGTTAACAATTAAGGACCAGTGCAGTAGCTCATGCCTGTGTTCCCAATACTTGGGATGCGGGAAGATTGCTTGAGCCCAGGGGTTTGAGTCTACAGTGAGCCATGATCACATCACTGTACTGCAGCCTGGGCTACAGGGCAAGACAGCATCTCTTTAAAAAAAAAAAAAAAAAAAAAGAATGTATTTATTCTTTCAACACATAGGTGTTGAATTCCCAGTAGGCACAAACAGCTTTGAGAGGCATGGGCATCTGTGATCTGTTTGATTTGTGAGGGTATGAGTTTTGATTAGAGCTGTTTTTCCTACAGGTATCATTTTTTGTATATTAGCCTTTTTTGTCACTTTCTGGCTGTGGCCTTAAAGTCTCTGATGAATGTACTTTTCTTGCATTCTGCAACAGCTCAGGCAGGACTGTGCATGAGATCTCTAAGCCAGGGGTCTCCAACCCCCAGGCCATGGTACTGTTCTGGGGCCTGTTAGGAATCAGTCTGCACACCAGGAGGTGAGCCTTGAGCTTCATCTGTATTTACAGTCACACCCCATCACTCACATTACTGCCTGAGTCCCACCTCGTGTCAGATCAGCGGCTGCATTAGATTCTTATAGGAGCATGAACCCTATTGTGAACTGCACATGCGAGGGATCTAGGTTGCCTGCTCCTTAGGAAAATCTAATGCCTGATGATCTGTCACTCTCTCCCATTAGTCCCCAATGGGACTTTCTAATTGCAGGAAAACAAGTGCAGGGCTCCCACTGATTCTGTATTATGGCGAGTTGTATAATTATTTCATTATTATTACAGTGTAATAATAATAGAAATAAAGTGCACAATAAATGTAATGCGCTTGAAATCATCCCAAAACTCCCTCGCCCTCCACCCCTGCTCCCCCGCCACCATCTGTGGAAAACTTGTCTTTTGCGAAACTAGTCCCTGGTGCCAAAAATGTTGAGGACCACTGTTCTAGGCCATGGGTATTCTGTGGCTAGAAACCCATGGAAGAGATATTTTAGCAGTTTCAAGAATCACTAAATACCACTAAGAACTTATATTAAAGTAATACTTCATCTGTCTAGGGAATACAATTAGGTAAAAATACTTTGGGTTGGATCAGATTAGTTTTTACATCCAAAATATTATTTTTAAAGCTTTTTTAGTATCAATTTTTTTAAAAATTACAGTTATACATACATAGTTTTAAAAACTAAATATTTCAGGCTGGACACAATGCCTAACACAAACATTACAGGCTCATACCTATAATCCCAGCACTTTGGGAGGCCAAGGCAGGGAGATCACTTGAGACTAGGAGTTGGAGACCACTCTGGCCAATATGGTGAAACTCCGTTTCTACTAAAAATAGAAAAACTAGCTGGGCATGGTGGTGCGTACCTGTAATCCCAGCTACTTGGGAGGCTGAGTCAGGAGGAGGATTGCTTGAACCTGGGAGGCAGAGGTTGCAGTGAGCCAAGGTCA